GGCCTAGAACCTTCATCTGATGAAGGGTCTAGGCCCGAAACGTCAGCCTCTCTGCTCCTATGATGCTGCTTGGCCTGCTGTGTTCATCCAGCCCTGCACCTTGTTGTCTCGGATTCTCCAGCATCTGCAGTTCCTACTATCTCTCATATCCAGTAAAATGTTTACTTTCCTCTTACACTGTTAAGCATCCCAATAATATCACTGATAAATTGAAATATCCCTTAACTATGTATTTGATCGTCACAGGCATCATTTATTTGACATAAAATCAAACAAACCTAAGTAGCTTCTTTTATCTACTTGATCAACAATGCTTCTCTTATCTGTTATTGATCCAGAATACTCTGCATAATGTATGTAATGGAGGCAAAGTCATAGCTCCTAATTTACTCCATCAACATTTATTATTTCTCCATAAGCAAAGCTAAAATCGTAACTGGATAAGAAACTTGAAGTTAAGAGAAGAGTCTTTTTATTTGTACAAGCATTCTTCAGAGGCTACTACAGGTTAAAAACCAAATATGGTCTTAAGAACATTGGTGGCCTGAGATGAAAATTAAAAGTATTATAAACTTTCTAGAAGCCTAGTTAATTGCTTACACATGGTACACATCATAGGTGTAGTCACTGTTGTACTAAGCATTCATTCATACAACTCAATCAGACCATGAAGTGTTTATCAATAGCTATTGTTCTGTTTTCACATGTTGCCAATGGTTCACCTTTTTGGGAGTCTACAAACAAGTAGATCCCAGCTCCTTACATTACAAAAGTGTCTGCACTTGCTCAGATCTCCAGATAAATGTAAAGCATTCCTCAAGTACCCTCTTCAGTTTAATTCAGCTAGAAATTCTATTATATTCCTCACATCGATTCTCTAAGGCTCCAGAAGGCACCAGAAACATACTAAAGATTCTGACTTGAGTTTTAAATGGCAAATTAACTTACTGAAAAATGGAACAAATTATTAACACCAGGAAATAAACATGTATTGTTACAAGACAGGTTAAGTTTACTCAGTTAAAATAAGTTTGTTATCGCTGCAATAATCTAGGATTAAAAAAAGACATAAGAGCATATAACCCAATAGGCCCTTCAGGCCTGATCCATCATCAATATAAGAGCATGGCTGATGTTCCATCTCAACTATACCCACTGTATACAATACCTCAACTTACTTAGGGTGCAAAAATGTATCAATCGCAGCCTGAGTATCCATAGTTATCTATGTGGTGAATTCAAACTTGACAAACCTCTGCGTTAAGAAATTTCTCATTCTCTTAGAGCTAAATTTCAGACCCCTTATACTGGGCTTAAAACCTCCTGAACCAGATTCTTCAACCAGGGGAAACAGCCTCCTAGAACGCTTGAAGAGGTTGATGCTAAGAATTTTGCACATTTCAATCAGACTATTTAAAATTGGTTTAGTACTTTTTGGCAACATACCATTTCATTACAATATTTTTCACTCTGAATTCAGAGTTATCATTGTTCTCATCTGAGATTCTCATGTAACTGACCTGACTTTGCAGCTGTCTCTGGTTCTGCTGCAAGGGTGTTTAGTAAGGACTGCAGCATTGGATAAGCCTCTTTCATTGTTCGAAGAAGATTTAATGCAGTCTCAGCGCTGAGCTGTCTCTCTTCAATGACTTTGCTCAATAATTTAGCCATAGCGCCTCTCGCAGTCTGTCCCTGACAGCACTCCACAATTACCTAAATATCAACATATTAACAGTAACTACATTTTTTTGGAAGTAATAGGAAAATATGCAAATAGTACAAGGTCTGAAAACTACACTTCTAGTCTAACATCTCTCAAATCATACTTATGCACGAGGAAACGCTAACTGCTTAAGCAACTGTTTGGTCATACTTTGAATACAAAGGATATAGAGGCACATCGGTCAATAATGATAGCCAAAGTGGAAAAAAGTAAAAAAGGTTTTGGCTCCTCTATCTAGAGGAGACGGCTGTGGGGCAGTCTCGTAGAGGTCTTTAAGGGATCGACAGGGTAGACATAGGGAGGGTGATTCCACATACTGGAAGTCAGAAACTAGGAGCTATAAATATAATGTTGTTATTTTAAAAAAATCAAACAAAGCACTCAGAAGAAACTTCTTTGCACAGAGATTGCTTGGAATATGGAATTCATTACCACATGAACTAGAGGATGGGAAGTATCTGAATGCCTTACAGTGAAGCTTGGTAAACATATGAAGGAACTAGGAATAGGAGGGGGTGTTGACAGTGAGATGATTTAGGGTGAAAGAATTGTGCGGCACACAAACACCAGCACAGATCAAATAGGCAAAAGGTGTGTTTGTGTTGTGAATAAAAGCAGTGAATCAAGGCTTTCATTTGCTACATTTGTTTAAAGTGTTTGTTTACATTTCTTTAATAGCTTAAACTATTGCATGGCATGGTAGCTCAATGGATAGCACCGTTGCTTCACAGCACCAGGGTTCCAGGTTCAATTCCAGCCTGAGGTGAATGTATGGAGTCTGTGTGTTCTCCCTGTGTCTGCATGGATTTCCTCTGGGTGCTCCAGTTTCCTTCCACAGTCCAAAGATGTGCAGTTAGGTGGATTAGCCATGCTAAATTGTCCTATTGTGTCCAGGGATGCAGTCTTGACGGGTGAGCCACAGTAAACACAGGGTTACAGGGGCAGTGGGGAGGACTGGGTCTGGGTGGGGTGCTCTTCGGAGGGTCAGTGCAGACTAGATGAGCCAAATGGCTTCTTTTCGCACTGTAGGGATTCTAGATTCTAACTTTGTGATCCTCTAGTCATTTCATATTGTTCCTGTGATTTCTGCATCTTATGCTTATTTTACATTAAACTCACATAGTTTCCTGAAAAATTATGTCTGCCACTGAGTGTGACTTCTGAGCATAATGGGCACCATGACTTTGGCATTATTCAATTTTTAATACATTAGTAATTTCATAACTCTCAGAGCACTTCATGAACTGAAACCCATCAAATTCATTAACAATTTACAACAGAAAAGCTCCCACATGCACAACATAATTTCAATAACACCCGCAAGAAAATATTAGGTGGACGCAAAAGCAGATGATGGTATATTTATTCTCCGGTGTGTACTACCAGACTAAGGCTTTAGTCTATTCTCAGATCGACTCACAGGGAGCTCTGTCTTAGTCAGTCAACTGGCTTCACACTGTCACTTTGAAAGCTTCAGAAATTTTAGAAAAAAGCACGTTGATGGATACCATGAAAACAATGAGTGAGATCAAATCGATTTAAGTGTACTTAGCATTGATACCCTCTTTTAAAAAAAAAAGCACTGAAGCCATGTGAAAGGGGCAATGTTAAATTTATGCAAAGCCAGAGCTAAAATACAAACTGCAGCTTTTGGTACCTTGTTAAGACCATAGGCTCACTAGGATGATACACTGTTGTTACAGGAAGAGGCTTGAAATGTTGGACCGATCTCTCTTGATGCAGGGAAAGATGTCCAGAAACACAAATTTCTGGATGTCTGATAAATTTTGATAGCGTGCATGGAAAAGATCATCTTTTCTAATTGTTGAATAGCAACAAAGTCATGAATGAACATGGATAAAACCGTGAAGTGAGAGATAAGGAGAAACACTTCGCCAGAAAAAATAGATGAGGTAGAAATAATCTGATGTTTGGAAGATTCAATGGTGGAGAAATGGGAAGAGCACAAACCAGTGAGATGCGCTTTGGATTACTCTAGTAAAGAGCCAAGTAACCAAGATAAGATGGTCTGAATGACCTCCTTCCTTTACTGTACATTTCTGTATCTTAAACCAAAGAAGAAAGTCACTTCAATCTCTTCTTGGATTGCTAATGAAGGTAGAACTAGATTTCCAATCCATTTCAATAGAGTGAAAGTAAACATTTTTAAACTGAAAAATGACCTTTTTCTCCTCCTCACTGAAAACCATTTCTTCAGTAGACTCCAAGCAGTCCAATAAAGGGCTCAAATCCGTCACATATTGCAGAACCTCCTCTTTGTGCAAGTAAAGGTTGAGCAGAAAATCTTCTCTGTTGATACAACCTAAATATTAGAAACAACCAATCCATGAGCTCCAAACAAAATGAAGTACAGAAGCCTACGTATGAATAAGCAAGGCTCAAGTAAAAGGTGAAGTCATTCTTTCACACGAAATTGAAAATAATGTTATCAGATGAAAAAGTCTCAACCTGAAACATTAATGCTTGCTCCTTTTTCTTAGATACTGACAAACCTACACAGTATTTCCGGTATTTTCTTATTTCAGATTTTCAGCATCGACAACAATTTGCCTTTTCCTTCATTTGTTTACCTCTAAAGGCTTTAACAACTGACTCTCTGAACCAAGGACATTTTTGGATATGGCCTAAGAATAACAAATTATCTGAAATTTTGCCTACTTTTTAGGTATCCAGCTTACACTGTACTTCATTTTTGGCTTGTCCAAGTGAAGCACAGAGAAAGTACAACCTATATTTTCTTCTAGATGGAAAGCCATATACACAACTCGAGTTCCAGATAGCACTCTTGCTTCGGAATCAGACTGTAGTGGAGTCGAATCTCACTCCAGAAACTGAAACACAATACCCAGCTGCCACATCCAACACAGTACAGAGATTTCAGAAGTGCTGCACTTTCAGAGACACTGACTTTCAGATGAGACAAACTGAAGCCATGGCAGTATCCTCTCAGGTGAACTTAAAACATCCTATGACACTGTAAATAACAGCAATACTTATCCCTTAACCAATACCACACAGCTTATCTAGTTATTATCACATTGCTATTTAGTAAACCGAACAATTCACAAAATTGATTGATGTATATGCTACACTACAATAATGAATATACTTTAAAAGTTCTTAAGCTTTAAATTACTTTGGGCCGAACTGGAGTTGTGAAACGCACTATGAAAATGTCAGTACCTTTCCATAAACAATCTACCTTTGAGCATTCAGGGAAAAAGAAAAAACAAACTATAGTTATGATGGCAAAGAGAAAGCTTGACCAATTTAAAAATTTGCACCCTTTCTTTCAAACTTTCCCATTCTCTTACCCCTCTCTGCTCCTAAGTTGACATCCTTCAGAGATCTCTGCCCTGCTCCAATTCTGGCCTCAAGCATACTGCTGATGGTAATCACTCTGTCTTTGGTGTAGTACCTTCAACTGCCAAGGTGCTAAGCTTTGGAATTCCAACCTTAAATCTCCTTGCCTCCTTATTCTCTTTTGTTTTAAAATGCTCCCCAAAAACAACTTAAAGTAAGCGTTTGGTCACTTGTCTGACATCTTATGCAGTTCAATTTCCAATTACGCAAATAACAATGCTATGAAGTACTTGGGACTTTTCAATCATGTAAAAAGTCCTACATAAATATAAGCTATTGTTTGTTAGAAGAGCATGACTATTAACATACCAGATAAATCAACTTATGTAATAAGATATATAGTTTGACAAATGAAGAGTTGGAGCGCATCCTCACACAGCAGTACCTCAATATTATTACAATCATGTAGCTCTTCCTCACGGATTTCCCTTTCTGGTTGATGCTCTGCAACTACAAAGTGGACCTTTTTATTAAGAACTTCCATCTCACTGGGGAGGCTTCAGGACAATCCATATCCAAACAACCTGCTCTGAAATTTCTGCTTGCATTTTGACAAATGCACCCAGCAGCTGAGGCAAACTGCAACATTCAAATGAAATCAACATTCTAAATGATACACTTACAATATTCTTTTAAAGAGGTCAATGAATCTTATCTCTCAATTTTAACAGACCTTTTTAAAAAATTCCAGGATCTAGATGCGCATTTTTGCCAAAAACCACTGTTCTTCCTTGGTCACCACTCTGTTTGTCGAGATGTGACTATTACTTTATGTGATGTACTGTTTACAGACAGAGACTGGCAAAGAGAAGCAACAACTTTACAATGGCTACTGTCAGTGGCAGAGTTAATAAAATAAATTTCTAGATCTACTCATTTTTATTTTGTCAATTTATACAGGCAAATTAAAAATGCAATGACGGTTAATATTTTTAATTTTCTAATTAATAAACAATATATAGTCATTTACCTTTAATTAGAAATCATCTTTGTGGCTGTCTGTTAGTCTGCAAATAATATATTCCAAAAGCTAATTTCAGTAAAACTTGGTACCCAGGACCAAAGGAGACTGGTCAGTTTTTCGCAAAGATACAGATTCAAATCCTGAAGTCTTTTTTTAAAGAATGTTATGAACTGTCTTAATATGGGGTAATTTGTCAGAGCTCTCAAAATGTGAGCGGAACTTTCACAGCAGATGTTGAATCGCTTCAGGCCAATTCATTAACAATGACTTAAATAAAAAGGCTTTTGTTCACTTTCACAATAGCAATTAGGGGTGGGCAAAAATGTTGGAGGAGTCAGTAACATCTGCACTCCATGGCTGATTTTTTTTTTTGAGAAGTTACAAAGCATCAAACAAGGCAGGGAAAAGCCTCAAGATGTGCATTATTGTAATACAGTTAACTAAAGTGAAAGTATACACTAAGTGCCTTCTTCACTTGTTCAAATATACTTTTATATACTGTATGCTATACAAAAATTGAAAACTACATTCCCAATTATAGCATTTAAAAAAATTTTTCTTCATGGGTTGTGGATGTTGCTGGCAATGTTATTGACTGATCATTGCCCAGAGGGCAGTTTATAGTCAATCACATTGTTGTTGATCTGGAATCACATGTAGGGCAGACCAGGGAAGAATGACAGTTTCTTTCCCTAAAGGATATTAGCAAATCAGATGGGCTATTCTTACAATCTCCATCAGTTTCACAGTCACCATGAAACTCTTAATTCCAGATTTTTAATTAGATCCAAATTCCACCGTCTGCCACAGCCAGATTCGGATCCAGGCTCCCAGATCATCACTAGGGTCTTTGGATTAATAATCTATTGATAATACTGCTGGGCAATTGTCTCCCAATGCGTGACAGATGAAACAAGAGGTGGGCAGAGTATAGAAATCTTCCCAATAGGCTTTAATAATCAACTATTTGCTCATTGCAAACAGAAAGAAATCATCATTTAAGCATTTATCTGCTAATCCACTCCATGCAGGATCTGCTGAGTTTTAAACAGATGAAGTCCTACCCAATATCTCATCGTATTGTCTACACTATATCTAGTTAATAATCTAGATTTTACTACTTAAGCAATAACTGAAACAAAGGAAAATACGTACAATGCAATAATTTACCTTAACTGAAATAACTAGTGTTTTAAAAAAAAGTGAACCTGTCACATAATTGCACTATTGTCAGACAAATTTTGGCTACAAAAATTAAAACAATAAACAGCAGAAATTATGATAGTTTAGCTTTGCTATTTTTTTCTATAATATTAATCATCATTGATAGAAAAAAGCAGTTTGCAAATAATCACCCACAGAAGTGCTCTTAATGCAGCATAGTATATAAATGAAAAACAGACCTACAGTTCCACTTATTGATGGTAGCCTGTAACTACAGCAATCTCGAACCTCTTTGCATAGGGGTTCCTGTGAAACGTTGATTGCACAGGTATGCTTGATGTTGACCTACCTAATGAAAATGTCCAAAAATCCTGAGAACAGGATGTCTTTTTTTGTTAAGGGCACAGACTTTTTTTTTTAAGTGGAAGAATAGAAATAAAAATAGACTTGAATGACTGACTCTTTGGTGCTAAGTCATGGTAAGTAGTACTGTTAAGATACCTACACACCTTATCATTAGGTGAGCAAAAACGAAACAAAACCAAAGTAGCTCAAAAATGGCCAAGACTTGAGTGGTGCTAGAAGAAAAAACACAACTATTTTCACATAATCTCTTCAGTCACATGATTCACTGAGAGTTCTTCATACTGGATCTGTATATAATGCAAACAACCACAGGAAATATGCCTGCTAAGCAAGATTTTGACTAAGTGAGAGTTCAGATAAAACAAGTCAAATTTTTTGGCAACCTCATGGCAAGGCTGCTGATGATATTAACATATGGTGGCTGGGCGGTGACTGTGTGCAAGCATTTCCTTCAATCACCTCAACAGAGACAGCTGGCTCAGATAGCAGCTCCATGTTGAACATAGTCAGCAGTTGCTGGACTGACCTGGGAAGGTACCAACACAAAAGTGTGAAGTGATTCATTTTGGAAGGTCGAATTGAATGCAGAATACAGGGTTAATGGCAGGATTCTTGGCAGTGTGGAGGAACTGAGGGATCTCGGGGTCCACATCCATAGATCCCTCAAAGTTGCTACCCAAGTTGATAGGGTTGTAAAGAAGGTGTATGGCGTGTTGGCTTTCATTGGCAGGGGAATGAAGTTTAAGAGCAGCGAGGTTGTGCTGCATCTCTATAAAACTCTGGTTAGACCACACTTGGAATATTGTGTTCAGTTCTGGTCACCTCATTATAGGAAAGATGTAGAAGCTCCAGAGAGGGTGCAGAGGAGATTTACCAGGATGCTGCCTGGACTGGAGCGGACGTCTTATGAGGAAAGGTTGAGGGAGCTAGGACTTTTTTCATTGGAGCAAAGAAGGATGAGAGGTGACTTGATAGAGGTGGACAAGATGATGAGAGGCATAGATAGAGTGGATAGTCAGAGACTTTTTCCCAGGGCGGAAATGACTATTATGAGGGGGCATTTTAAGGTGATTGGAGGAAGGTATAGGGGAGATGTCAGAGGTAGGTTCTTCACACAGAGAGTGGTGGGTGCGTGGAATGTGTTGCCAGCAGTGGTAGTGGAGTCAGATACTTTAGAGACTTTTACCGACTCTTGGATGCTAGTATTCTGTAGCGTATGGAGGGTAGTTTGATCTTCGTAGGATAATCGGCCCACAATGTTGTGCAGACTGCAGGGCCAGTACTGTGCTGTACTGTTCTACGTTCTAACTTGCACCCACATCCCAGGGATCTTGCTTCCATTCGAGAGTCAGCTCTGACATGTGTTTAGTTTCGGCACAACTGATGGATACTTTTCCAGATGTCAGTCAAGGAATTGCTGCTTGTAGAGTGTACAGTGAATAGAGTTAAAATGGAATTTTAGGATGAGGGTAAAGCATTGTATGGGAATTGAATGAGGTTATGGTTCTGGAGAGGTGCTTGGGAAGGTAGTATGGTTGGAATGGAGTTGGAAGAGGAAAATGGTGAGATGATGGCATTTGAAGTAATACAATTTAACATAAGTATTTTGTGAATCTTTGATAGTTTCAAAATAATGAATTTTGATAGAGTAGATAGGTGGAAATAATTTTTTTTTTTGAGTGAAAAGGGGTTACTGACCAGAGGAGACAGATTTCAGGGGTGGCACGGTGGCTCAGTGGTTAACACTGCTGACTCACAGCGCCAGGGACCTGGGTTCGATTCCACCCTCGGGCAACTGTCTGCGTGGGTTCCCTCCGGGTGCTCCAGGTTTCCTCCCACAGTCCAAAGATGTGCAGGCTAGGTGGATTGGCCATGCTAAATTGCCCATAGTGTTCAGGGTGTAGATTAGGTGGGTTATAGGGGTATAGATCTGGGTGGAATGCTCCAAGGATCGGTGTGGACTTGTTCGGCTGAAGGGCCTGTTTCCACACTGTAGGGATTCTATGATGATTCTTCGATGATTCTACGAAAAAGTGAGGATTTTTTTTTTTAAATGCAAGTTTCTATATCTTTAATTCTCTCTGGGAAGTGGAAACAGATTCACTAAAAACGTTTTAAAAGACAACTAGATATATACTTGAAAGAGAAAGATTTGCAGATCTGTGTTGAAAGCATAGGGCATTAGTACTAAGAAAATAGCTGTAAGAGCTTACCCAGGTACAATGGACTAACTGCAGCATTCTATGGCTCTATTTCCTTCAGGCAACATCCATATACAGACAATTAAGATTTGCAGCAAAATACATTTTTGGACAGAATTGTCAAATCTAGCACCCTTCCTAACACACAAACTTGATTTTGGAATACTTCCTCCCCCATGGGAACCCTCATCAAACTGCTTCTATATTTTGTCCAGTATCTGTTCAGCTTCAGATACATCTGATGAATATGAACTTTTATTATTAGCAGGTCTCAATACATATTCTTCAACTGCTCAAGTCCAGTGTCATAAAAAGATATATACTCATTCACAGGCATCTTGTTACCTAGTTATGCAAAAGTCTATTTACAAACTCATTTCAAAGTTTTGATGTTATCTCGTAAACCTTTTCAGGGTCTACAAAATGCAATCTAGCCAACCATCGACCAGTTAACCACTGAACTGACATTTCTGACCCTCTGTGTAACAACAGTTTTTCCTAGGGTGGAGGTAGCTATTACGAGGGGGCATAGTTTTAAAGTGAGCGGAGGTAGATACAGGGGAGACGTCAGAGGTAGGTTCTTTACTCAGAGTGGTAGGGGCGTGGAATGCATTGCCGGAGAGGGTAGTGGAGTCGGCCGCATTAGGGGCATTTAAGCGGCTATTAGATAGGCATATGGATGATAGTATAAGGTACGGGTGGAAGTTAGATAGATCTTAGGATTAGGGTAAAAGTTTGGCACAACATCGTGGGCCAAAGGGCCTGTACTGTTCTATGTTCTAAGAGCTTGGGCATCAAGAAAGACAACTTGTCAGAATGGCCCAGAGGTCTAAGGTACCAGACTCTAGGAGTGCCATTCTGTGCCTTACTGAAACCTGGTGAATTTTGCTCCCCTTCTAACTTAGTGCAGAGAGGATTTTTTTTTCCCCCAGTTGGGGAGTTTAGAACCAAGGGATATATTCTCAGGATACAAGGTTAGACCACTTGGTACTGACATGAGGAAAAATGTCTTTACAAAGAGTAAGCAACTCCAGAGGGACATTGACAAGTTGGCTAAGTAGTAGACACCCGGCAGATGAATTTCAATGCAATGAAATATGAGGTAATGCACTTTGGTAGAAGAAACATGAAGTGACAAAACAGACCCAACGGTACAACTTTGAGGGGTGTGCAGGAGCAGAGCAGAGGGGCGAGTATTTTTTGTCTGACCTGAGTCAGAAATAGGGTCTCCAGCTCTGATTGGACTTTCTGGGCTAATGCGTCTCTGGACTAAACCTAACATGAAATATTACATGATCTACATTCAAAACAAAAGTTGAGTGATGGAATCCACAACAGCTCTAAAGTAACACACTTACCTGCTGGCTAGTGCAGAATCGTTATGCCGAATGAACATTACTCACTTAAGCACTCACCAGTTACTACTAAACGTTCTATGGGCAAGTTTTGGTTTAAGTTCTGAAGCACAGTCTGCAGACTGGGGTATGCTTCTTTGTTCTGTTCAAGCACAAATAGCAGGGTTTCCAGTTGCAAAGTCTTCTCTTCTGTAACTTTATCCAATAATTTGCAGAAAACTTCACTGCTTTCTCCTTCTTTACAGCAGTCTAGGAATATCTGAAGCAGAACATGGAAGTTCAACATTAGTTATTCTTGGTCCATACCATAATTTATTCCCACTGACTATTTATACTGTTGTAAATTTACACACAGGCAAAGTAATCTACGTTTGCACAGATGCAGCATGCATTCAAGATACTTAAGGCCTAGTGGCACACCTATAATGATGGAAATATTTACTTCACAATATACACTGACCTTACTAGCTTCCCATTGAAGTTTATTCCATTTTTCAATCAAGGGAATGAGGTAGGCGTAGAAGAAGCACATTTCATCAGGAAACAGCAACTAAGGCCAAGGCTAAGCCAAAAAAGTATTACTGAGGTTTGGGGTGAGTGAGGCTAAATGGCAAGGCAGGAGACATTTAAGAGGGTGGAGGTATTAGAGGTTTCAGTGGTCTGAAAATTGGATAAATCTCAAGGCCCAGATGAGATGTATCCAAGGCTACTGTGGGAGGGAAGGGAGGAGATTGCAGGGGCCCCCTGACATTAGGTTTAAATCCGCTCTGGACACAGGACAGGAGCCATAGGACTGAAGTATAGTAATGTGGCACTATTATTCAAAACAGAGGGTAGGGATAAACTGTAGACTACTGCGTCTAACATTAGTGGTGAAGAAACTGTTGGAAAAATTCTAAAAGACAGAATTTGGAGAGTTCAAGATAATTCCTGAATAGTCAGCATGGTTTTGTCATGGGGAGATCATGCCTGCCAGGTTTGATTGAGATTTTCGAAAAGGTGAGTAGATGTGTGGATGAGGGTACTGTAGCAAATGCAGCCTACATGGACTTCAATAATGTTTTTGACAAGGTCTCACATGGCAGTTAGGGGAAAATAAGATAGGCCAGGAGGTTTACATGGCATTTCAGGGTTGGGGCACGTGAGAGGCGCACGTGTGTGTGTGGTGCAGGTAGGTAAACTGGAACTAAGTGCCCGAAAACATCGCAGAGGCAAGGACCATCACGACATTCAGGAAATGGTAGTTTTGAGTTAAATAGAGGGCTGGATAAGCTAGGACTTTTATCACTGAATCATGGGAAGTTGAGGGGTGAGCTTATAAAGGTTTATAAAATCATGAGGGGCATAAATAAGGTGTACAGCAAAGTTTCTTTTCCCTGAGGTAGGGGAGTTCAAAACTAGAGGGCATAATTAAAAGGTGAGGGTAGAAAGATATAAGAGAGACCTGAGGGGCAACTTTTCCATCCACAGAGTGGCTCATATGTGGAATGAACTGCCAGAGGAAGTGATAGATGCAGGTACAGTTGGAACATTTAAAAGACATTTGGACAGGTACAAGAATAGAAAAGGTTTAGAGGGATATGGGCCAAATGTAGGCAAATGAGAATACTTTAGTTTGTGAAACTTGGTCAGTATGGACAAGTTGAACCAAAAGATCTGTTTCCATGCTGTATGAATATATGACTCTAAGTATTTAGATAAACCCTTTGAGTACCTGCGTGTACAGGGTTATAGGCCAAATAGAAGTAGAGTAGATAAGTGCTTAATGATTGGCATGGACATGAAGGGCCAATGGGACTCTTTACATGCTGCAAAACTCTATAATTCTATGAGACAATAATTTAAAATCTAGATATCAAACATAGATCAAAACCTTTTTCTCTGCCATTGGGATATCTTCACATTTAACCACAGAATCCACTAAAGCGTGTAGGTCCTGGACAGCCTGTGCAAGATCATGTTTATGCTGCATGAGGAACTCTTGTTCTGAGAGATTTCTGGGCTCTTCTGCTCAAAGATACAAAGATAACACTAAACATTTGCAGAAAGCATCATATTTTGGAAATTCAGAAATAAGTTTAACAAAGATATGCACAACTAGTTAATTTAAACATATTCTCTCAAACATATATAGCTCACAAATATGATCACCCAACACTACGGTGGCCTGGCATGGAAGGGGACGCTTGGAAACCATGAAGGTGGAAATTGCAACATAATCATCCTCTAAATACTGGCAACTGATAGATGACATCAAGGCATGCTAGTGTGACCTAAAGGACTTCCTCCAAACTTAAAGTCATGCACAGTAAGGATTGTCATACAAACCACTGGGTCACTCACTCAAAGCCAGACGTAGAGACAACCCAACAAAGATATTTTGCACTATCAACCTGCAAACAACATCTTGCAAAGATAAATACCAAGCAACCTAATTGCCAAATTGCAATACTATGATCTCACTGATAATTCCATTCCAGAACACAGGGACCACATCAAAGCAGCAGTAATGGATACTGAGGTAATCAAACTAGCACCAAGGTTTGTTGAAAATTACAAAAAAGACCACAACTTGAGAGCAGTAAATCGGTCGGTATGGACAAGTTGAACTGAAAGATCTGTTTCCATGCTGTATGAATATATAACTCTAAGTATTTAGATAAACTTCCTGAATGTCTAAAGGATCACACTTGCAGTAAAAATTCAAGTACATATGGATGGTGGCAACACAAGAAGGCTTTTGCAATGCACTAAAATCTGGAACAGCATATCAAAACCGAAAACCTTGAGGAGCGCCAATGGCAAGACATTACACAATGACATGATCGTATGGAGTACTAAGGGATACTGTCATTAACCACAGAAACATTAGCCTGTCAAAGAAGAACTTGAAGAGAGCCCAGCTCTGGAAGAAACGGTGACAGCTGTCAATCAGATGAAAAGCAACAAAGGCCCGAGTTGATGGAACTCTCCCCTCCAAAGGCTTGAAGCGTGGTGGATCTGTTCGACATACCGAGCTCCGTGAGCTATTCATGGCCTGCTGGAAACAGGGCAGATTTCCACGGAATGTTTGTGATCTTGTTCAAGAACCAAAGGAGAAAATTTAGACTGCTCCAACAACTGTGGGATCACCTTGTTTTCTATTTCTGGGGGAATTCTGGCTAGAACACTTCTAAACAGCCTAGTGCTACTGTTGCAGGAAACCTCCCAGAAAATCAAAGGCAATATCAGGACAGAAGCACCACAGACAAAGTATGTGCAGTCAGAAAAACACAAAATAAGTGTTATGAGCAAAGCAAAGGCATGCACATCACTTTTGCAGACCTCACCAAAGTATTCACTACATAGATCTGGACTCTCACCATAGAATCCCTACAGTGTGGAAACAGGCCCTTCGGCCCAAGAAGTCCACACCGACCCTTGGAGCATCCCACCCAGACCCATCCCCCTTTAACCCACACACCCCTGAACACTACAGGCAATTTAGCATGGCCAATCCACCCAGCCTGCACATCTTTGGACTGTGGGAGGAAACCAGAACACCCGGAGGAAACCCACGCAGACAAGGCAGAATGTGCAAACTCCACACAGACAGTCGCCCAAGGCTGGAATCGAACCCAGGTCCCTGGCACTGTGAGGCTGCAGTGCTAACCACTCAGCCACTGTGCCGTGAAAAGGATGCTGACCCAGATCTACAGCTATGGTGAAGCAGTTTCATAAAAATCAGTATAGACATGTCAAGCACACACTGACCTTTCATATCTCCAACAGCATGACACAGGTGTATGCTGGGCCTGATTTTATTCACCACCTTCTTCAGCATGATGATGCAGCAGGCAATGGAGGACCATGTGGGGAGTTTATATACACTTCCAGAATAAGAGAGGTTTTATCAATCTCAGGCATCTTCTGACTTGCTCAAGGACTCAGGAGAAACTACGAACTTCTAAACGCTAGTGACTGAATTCTCCTGCCCAGCACTTATTGTCCATTCCTAACTGCCCAGATGGCAATTAAGTTATGAGTTAACAACACTGCTGTTGGTCTGGAATCACATGGAGGCCAGACCAGGTAAGCACAGTAGACTTCCTTCCTTAAAGAACATAAATGAACCAGATGGATTTTTACAGTAATGAACAATGGTTACATTGGACTAGTTTTTATTTCCAGATTTTTAAAAATTTAATTCTGATTTTACCATCTGCCATGGTAGGATGTGAACCCACGTCCCCAGAACATTAGTATGGGGTTCTGGATTGCTAATCCAGTGACATTATAACAACCTATGTGGGGACTATCATTGTAATTATTACCACATAAGACAAGGAAGTGAGCAACAGGCTTCCTAAGACACGTTTGAAAGAATCTACAAATGTGTGAGGAACGATGACAGCCTCAGAGAAGGCAAACACCAAATGTACAAAGTTGTGGTCCTCACCATCCTTCTGTACAGCGCTGATTCATGGGTCCTTTACCACCGTCATACACTTCAAGAGCATGCCTCCGAGAGAATCTCTACCAGTTCTGCCTCCACAGCATTCTCAAGATCCACTGGCAGGATCACATCACTAATATTGAAATCCTGGAAACAGCCATATCACCAGCATTGAGGTCATCCTCCTGCAAAGCCAACTGGTTGGACAGATCACATTGCCAGAGAGTGTGACAGTTGCCTGCACAAAACTGTCTTGGACAGAGATGACCACTAGTGGACCCCACTCAGCCAGAAGGGCCATATGCAAACATTTCAAGGACTTTGAGAAGACCCTTTGAGTACCACAATAACTTTTGTCAAGAAGCACATAGATACTGAATGAAGAGTTTGAAGGACACCTTTGAGTCTGAGCAAAAAGCCAGCAGAAAGAGAAAATGAGAACTACATCCAACTGCCCTCAGCCGGGACTGCACCTTCACTTGCATCCACTGTCAGAGAATCTACCAGTCACAGATAGTCCTGATCAGCCACCAGCAGTCTGGTGACTGCTGAGAACAACAATCCTAAAATCAACTGCAAAGAAATGCCAAGAAGATCATGCTGTCTACACCTTCTGCTCTCAAAATTTACTTTTATCCTGCAAATCAAGAAAGTTACATACAATTTTTCAGCTTGTTATGAACCTGACTAAAACACTCACAATATCCAACTCTAGACACAAGTCATACTAGGTCCAGGTTAGGAGCTGAACAATCTACAGTATGATGAGGCATACAGCAACAATTGTGCAGACAGTGATTCACTGTCGAATCTTTTATAGCAAATATATATTTTTAAACTCCATACATCACTATGTGAAGAATACTGAAACACAGAAGTTTCAGTGGTTCATTTCTGCAAATCTAAGTGTTCACAGAAGACAAAGAAAAGTTTTTTTAGCTCAGAATTATTTTCAGCAATATTAGAAAGGCAAATTACCCTTGAGCTCAGATTTCAAGTGAGGTAGAACTGTCAACATGTTTTCTGATTAACTTTTTTTCTGATTAAGCAGAAAACAGAACACACAAGTACAAGATAGTTAAACTCCTGGAAAGTATCTGCCAGTACAGAACGTAATTCATGCAAGGAACTGATTTGTTGACCTAGAATGTCAGAAACAGACATGGTTACCAAGTCACACTCCAACAGTAAAACTGCCACTTAGCATCATAGCTTCCAAAGACTGTCGGCGGTGGAGGGGGGGAGCCTGGGGATGCGGCAGTGTAAGTGGGAGTCAGGAATACAGAGGATTTGAACTCCTGTCTCTTCAGCATTAGCTTGGGCCTTTGGATCACTGGTTCAGCAACATTACCACCACACCACTCTCATTGTTGGCTCAGGACCATTTCATTGAGAAAGGTTGAGATACTTCCCACCAGCCCTGCTGTTTAATTGACTGAAGCTCTCTGACACACCCCTGATCATCATCTGTTTGATACAGAGATAAATTCACACCAAAATGTTACACCTGTGTTGTACCTGTTACTGAGAGCTTCCCCTTCTTGCTGGGTGGCTCATGGAGAATTTCTTCACCCTCAGTACAACCTGAGGAACAACTAACATTCTGGATGCCAGCCACATGGCTTTCTACTGAACTTTCTTGCTGCTCAACATCTTGTTTTGGATCAACAGCGTCAGCAAACAGAGCAGTCTCCTCAGTAGACAGTGCAACCCCAGTACTTTCAAAGTCTTCAATGCCAGTGCAATTTAATTCTTCTAGAGACAGGTTTTGCTCTGCTGGTCCAGTTACTTCAGTATCACTAGAAGCAGGCACATCATTACTGTCCAGTTCTTGAGATATGCAATGCTGATGTGTGACTGCCAGATTTAGTGTATCTTCGCCAACAGCAGGGTTCGAAGCCTGCACTTCATTTCCCCCAGTTTGTTTCATTAAGTTTGCCACAATGCTTTTACAACTGACAGCAATATCAAACATTTGTAAATTGTCTGCAACTGAAACCACCTTTGTAAAGTTGTGCTTCCCTGGTGGAACTTTCCCTGTATAGACCATCTCCAAAAGAACAGCAAACTCCTCCGGGCACACAACAGTTTGATCAATGGAGATCGTATCTGTGTTGTCCAATAGAGATTTGAAGAGCAAACTAGAGGCGGCTAGCACGAGTTTGTGCGCTCTGAACGGAGTGTTGCCGATAAGTAATGTGCAGTCGCAAAACTGTTCCTCTTTCCTTAGGGTGTACAGCTGCTGCATGAGCTGCCTGCTATAGTTTGGCAGTTCCATAGTGTTGGGTTACCTTAAACTGTGCCTCAGGATTGCTCTTCCAGATGCTACCTTTAAACAGTAAAGAAAAATGAGAGATTAGTCTTATGACAAATCAGCATAATTCTTTTGCGCTTCATAACAGATCAGATGACCACAAAATACAGTAACTTTTAATCAGTGTGGTCCTTGCTTTGCAAAGTACTTCATATTTTGTGAAGTAAGTTGTTCTGCACCTGTGGGATAATAGTTAGCTAATTAGAGATTTTAATCTTCACCACAATATTTAGGTACTGACTGTTCATAGATTCACACAGTGCAGAAAAGGTCCTTCAGCCCACTGACATAACCTCTACTAAAAGTGCACTAATCCCAATTTCCTGCACTTGTCCCATATCCTTGAATATTGTGAAATTTGAAGTACTCTTACAAATATTTTTTAAAAGATTGAGGGGTTTCCGGCCTCCACTACATTCCTGGACAGTGCATTCCATATTCCCATCATCTGCTGAGTGAAAGTTTTTTCCCAAATCCCCTCTGAATCTCCTGCCCCTTACCCTAAAACTATATCCTCTCGCGATTCGCCCTTTGACCAAAGGGAACAGTTGCTCTCTATTCACCCTATCCACACCTGTCATAATCTTATACCTCAATCATGTTACCTCTAGTCTTCTCTGCTCTATCTAGTCTCACCTTATAGCTCAATTTCTCCATCCCAGGTAACATCCTGATGAATCTCCTCTGTAACCCCTCTAGTGCTATCACATCCTTCATATAGTGAGATAACCAGAACTGCACATAGTATTCCAGTTGTGTCCTGACCAATGCTCTGTATAATTCCAACATTATCACCTTGCTCTTATACTCTACGTCACAACTGATGAAAGCTAATGCCCCATATGCCTTCATAACTATCCTGCTCATGTGCTCTGCCAACTTCAGGGATCTGCAAATAATTACCCGAAGATCCCTCTATTCCTCTAAACTATCCAGTGTCCTGCCATTTATTAAATACTCCCTCATCTTGTTTCTTCTTCCAAAGCGCATCACTTCACACTTATCAGAGTTAAATACCACCTGCCACCAGTCTGCCCATCTGACCAACCCATTTATATCTTCCTGTAACCTACAAACATCTTCATTATTAACCACTCCAATAATCATGGTGTCGTCAGTAAATTTGCTTAACATTCCTCCCCACATTTTCATCTATATTATTTATGTATATGACAAACAATAAGGGTCCCAGTACTGATCCTTGTGGTACACCACTAGACACAGGCCTCCAGTCACTCAAACAGCCTTCTACCATTATCCTTTCGGTCCGATTACTAAGCCGCTTTTTGATTCATCTCACCAAGTTTCCCTCAATTCCATTTGTGTTAATCTCTCAATCAGTCTCTCATGTGGGGCCTTGTCAAAAGCTTTGCTAAAATCCATATAAGCATCATCAATTGAACTTTCCTCATCCACACAATGACATTTTCAAAAAATTCTAACAAATTTGTTACGCATGATACCCCTCTGACAAATCCATGCTGAATATCCCTAATTAACTCATGCCTTTCCAAGTGGATATTAATTTTCTCCTTCAGAATCTTCTCCAAAAGTTTCCCTATTCCTGAAATGAAACTCATTGCTCTGTAATTTCCTGGTTCATCTCTACCTTTCTTGAAAGTTAAACCACATTAGCTGTCCTCCGGTCCTCAGGCACTAGCATAGTGGCACCAAAAATTTGTGTCAGGGGCCCTGCAATTTCCTGTCTCGCCTCCCACAGCAGCCTGGGGTATAACTCACCCAGGCCAGGGCGTATGTCTGTTTTTAAGCCAGATAGAGCCTCCAATACCTCCCCATTTCCTATGTCAAACTGTGCAAGGTCCTCATAGTCCCTTTTCCTGAATTCCATACCGAAGGTCTCCTTTTCTAGAATAAAAACCGAAAAGAAGCATTCATTTAACTGCTTTCCAATATCCTGTGGCTTCACACACAGATTGTCTCCTTGGTCCCTACCCTTTTCCTGCTTAACCTCTTCCTTTTAATGTATTTATAAAATACCTTAGGATTCTGCCTAATCCTGTTCATAAGTCTTTTCTCATGTCACCTTTTTTGCTCTTTTAATTGTTTTCTTAAATTCCCTCCTACATTCCCTGTAGTCTTCTAGCACTGAAGCTGAATTGCTCCCTTTGGACTTGCTAAGAGCCTTTTTGTTCCTCATCCAATCCTGAATTGTCCTAGACATCCAGGATGCTGTGAACTTATTGTTGTTACATTTCTGTATAAAGCATACGTGTTGGACCTGTACTCTCCCTAGCTCCTTTTTGAATGCCTCCCCCTGCCATTGCTCCGCTGTAGACTTACCCACAAGGCGTAGTTGCCAGTCAAGCCAGATCCTGCTTTATTTTAATAAACTATGCCTTCTCCCAATCCAAAGCCACCTTTTTCCTTGTCCAAAATAAATTGGAACCGTAGCACGTTGTGGTCAGGACTGGATTGCATTTTTTTCCCTCCATTTGACACTAAACACCTAGAATAAGATGCAAGCTCTTGAGGGCATGGCAGAGAGAATGCATACGAGATATGGAATGGGCTGGAGCAGCATGGGATTATGCCTCCCAATTCTTACCCCCACCCACCACCACTGTTTAGGGATTATTGAAACCCCCATGTGAGAACCGTGAGTGGGGAAAGGAGGCCTTTGAGAGCGAGGGGCTGGTGTGCCGTCTTAGTGCAGGATGCAGATATTCCATAAATGAAACAAAAAAAAACTTGGGGATGCTGGAGATCTGAAACAAAGAAATACATTAGTGGCGGAAGTCAACAGGTCTGGCAGCATCTGTGGGAAGAAAGCAGAGTTAACTTTTCAACTCTGGTGACCTTTCATCAGGAATAGGGCACTGGAAGTGAATAGGATGAACTGAAGTAAAGAGAATGCCGCAGGGAGACAGTGTGAGAGTTACTCAAAAATCGATGAAGGTGAATGAGAGATTGAGGGTTGCAGTGGCCGGTGAACTGTAGAAGGGCAAGGGAAAGCTAGCGCTAGGTGCAAGGAGGTACGCTGTCTGCTGGAAGGACATGGGTTTCGAAGCTCAGCTCATGATCACAGATTGAAATATTGGGATGAACCCCCATATCCAAATACTCTAACTTGTGACAGAGAGAGAGAGAGACCGCTCCGTTATCTCGCTCACTGGCTGCGACAACAACACAGCCGAATGACCACGGCCCTGCTACCCACACTAACCTGCTCTGGACAACTCGTCGTCCCACTACCTCTCCCCTCACATCCCCAAACCCAGACATCGCCGACTTAGCCACTGGGCGGCCGTCACACACCCATTATTTCCGGCCACCAACACCTCTCAACCGGAACCATAACCTCAGTCACGGGGCTATGGATACGAGCCAGCAACGCACAACGGGGACACTGCGCGGGCTCAGTCCCGGCAGCTTGGGAGCAGTGCGCAAACTCAGTCCCAGTCGCGCCCAGGCTACTCGGCCACAGTGCGCAGGCTCAGTCCCGGCCGCTTGGTGGTGTTGTTTACCAAGTGACAAAAACAGAAGTTGCTGGAAAAGCTCAGCAGGTTCGGCAGTATCGGTGAGGAAACGAATCAGAGTTAACTTTTCGGGTCCAGTGACCCTTCCTCAGAACGGAGTGGTTGCTAGGTATGGCAGAATGTGCCGAGAGATCAGTTTGTGAACTTTTTTAAATTTATAAACAATTCAAATTAAACTCCAGGGAGTTGCTGAAATTTGCAATTTCAAGTGAAACGATTTATGAAAAATTAATAAAGATAACACAGTGTGGAGCTGGAGGAACACAACAGGCCAGGCAGCATCAGAGGAACAGGAAAGAAGGATCTAGGCCTGTTGTGTTCCTCCAGCTCTACACCTTGTTATCTCTTGTTTGTTTACAACAGACTGCTTTGAATTTTGACTAATGAACTGTTCATGTGACTTATGATGTATAAACATCTGATGAATCTTTATTGAGTTAGAGTGGTACCACTTCGGAATCTTGTCTCGGGTAGTTGTCCCAATCTTAGCTCAATAAGCGATCATTAATGTATATCTTGAGACTCCTGAGACATTTTATAAAATAATCTACCTCAACACTTTCACTCAACAGCTTGATTTTTTGTAAACATGTTTCTGATTAGTCAAAGAGCTTGTTTGCTGTTTGTAAAGCATGGAACTTGTCAAGAATATATGGAGGAACACCAACCAGCACAGCCATCTGCTAATACCTGAAAGGAATTGAAAATTATCAGGTTAAGTAGGAGTGGAGATTATTTGACCATGAGAAGAGGCGATGCATGCGTTCCATAAATGGGATTGGAATTACCAGGTTAGAAATGTTGGAAGAGACTAAAGGTAAACAAACATTACAATTAGAGCAAAGTGGTAACATTACCATTGCCTTTGAAAGTCTCCATCCCGTCCTTCAAAGACTTTATTTCTGGCTCCTTTCATAGTACAACAGGACACGTTGCTATGATTTCACAGTCAACTGTGCATATTATTTGTCCCTGTTTCTATATGTTAGAAATAATCACACTTCAGACTTTGAAAGATTAGAGCTATTTGTGTTTAATAATGCTGCCGGGCAAGGAGACTGCTTTAGGCTACTAGCTTGTTGCATATCACATGACTGCAGTGTAGCCATCTATGTGGCCCCCTCTAACACTTGCACATAACAACTGGTTTCTGGGTAACTAGATCCTCGCTCTTTACTGATACTGCAACAATCTATAACACATATATAAGGATGATGAAGAATAAGTTATTCATCAAGCTGGGAAATACATGCATTTCACCTGTGATGATATAGCCAGATGACATTGAATGTACTGGGAGGCTATAACCTTGTGGTATTATCATTAGATTTTTCATCCAAAAATTCAGCTAATGCTCTGGGGACCTGAGTTCTAATCCTACTGTGGTAGATTGTGGAAATTGAATTCAATAAAAGAAAATTGGAATTCAGAATCTTTTCAATAACCATGAAACCATTGTTGATTGCCAGAGAAAAACCCATCTGATTCACTAATGTCCTTTTGGTAAGAAAACTACTATCCTTACCCAGTCTAGCCTATATGCGACTTTAACCCACAGCAATATGGTTGATTCTTACCTTGCCCCCTGGGCAGTTAGGGATGGCCAATAAATGCTGGCCTAGCCAGAGATGCCCTCAGCCTGTGAACAAATGAATAAAAAGAAACACTTTGAGTGCACATGCTGGAACTGATAGAGATGCCTGGCACCCATTCTCGTAAGTGACGGTCTTCTGCAGTGCCAGACTTGCACAGCTTCATGCTATACATGAGATTTTGCAGCGAATAGGAAGTATATACCTGCCAGAGAGTAGCAGATCCTCTTAAGACACAAGAACCAAGTTCTTTTGAGCGAGCCAACCTTTGCAGCTATCTCTTCCAGGCAGCCTTTGTCAGTTGAATGGTCTCCTGGTGCCATCCTGAGGAAACAAAGGACTGAAGCAGAGACTGAAGCACTGTCGAGGTGCCCTTGACAATTGGATGTTCAACCCAAGGAGGTCCTGACAGGGGTAAGAACTTCCTGCCTGCCCAATATGATTTGCTGTTCCACTTGCATATGCATACATAATGAGCTGAAAAACAAGTTATCGCACAAAACAATGCAACCTAACATAGTTAAGTCCTAAGGTTTTGGAGTAGATTTGTAGCTCGTGTAGTGGGTGTTGAGGTTGGTTGGATCGCCGAGCTGGTTTCTTGTTTCGCAGACGTTTCGTTACCATGCTGGGTAACATCCTCAGTGCAGCCTCCGATGAATAGTTAAGGTCCTGTTTTGGTGCCCAGTGCCACACTTAGCCTGCAAAATAGACGATTCTTCCCCATACAGGTAGTTCTCCTATAAAGTGATAGTTGCGTTCTTATGTTACCTTGTACTATGGAAAATCGCCATAGAAAATCACGTTATAGGGAAATTGCTGTAGAAAATCGCTATACCTGTACAGCAGAAAGTTTGTGTTATCCAGACAGTGTCCACGATTCATCAATTGCGTTACAGCAATTTGCATTAATGAAACACACAATATAACAAACTACCTGTAATTTGATTGGTATTTCACTGAAAGAATGATTTTCAAACTCCCAGGCATTACAATTACATATTTAATGTGAATAACATGGTTCAAATAAAAAAAAGGTGTTTTTTATTTGGACAAGGATCTAAAGCATAGAGTTGCTTGTGTGAAGACAATAACTGTGCCTGATTCACACCTGAGCGTTTTCTATAAAAGTTTTACTACATTGACTGTTAACAGCTTAGTTAGTTTTGTGATGTCACAAGAAATTTGCAGAACCTCAGTGCTGTTTATTATGATATCATAGATGAATGAATGTTTCTGTTTTGATTTTCAAACACAAAGCTAGACGTTAAAGCACCACCTGGAAAGGGCCACAAAGGTGCAGACTCATGGAATGATCACCTTCCACGTGAGCTGCTACCTCCTGGTGTCTTGTTCCAGTATCCATTCGTCCTGTGTGCAACTAAATAGGTGCTTCAGTAGTCTACTCGACCATGGGGAGTATCACAGTTACATCCGAAGCTGTCTTCATCCAACATCTACTAAGGTACAGTTCTGTGTCAGCGACTAGTAAGCAGGAGCACATACTTTGGCCAATTCTTCTCTTCACAAACCCAAGAAAGCTGAGGCTATTGGTAACACCAATCAGAAAATTCCCTGCATATTGAGATAGTAATACCTGGAATATCCAGACCAGGTGGCTTAGTTACCACACTGGGCTGTGCAATGTCTCTCAGAACAAATGGGAATGAATAATGAATGTCAGAGATAGTTAGAACTGCCGATGCTGGAGTCAGAGATAACACAGTGCGGAGGTGGAGGAATGCAGCAGGCCAGGCAGCATTAGAGGAGCAGAAAAGTTGACTTTTCAGGTCGGGACCCTTCTTGGGGCCCCATTTCTGAAGAAGGGTCCCAACCTGAAACATCAACTTTCCTGATCCTCTGGTGCTGCCTTGCCTGCTTTGCTCCTCCAGCTCCACACTGAATAATGAATGT